CCTCCATGTCTCTCATTCTTTCCCACCTACTCTTATGCAAAACCRGTTCTTCTTAGCTTGTAATATTTCTTATTCAAACATTAATACTYTTCTCCCCTTTGTGGATGTTGTTCATCTCTGCCAGAATATCTACCCCAAATGTTGAAGAATCCTTTACAAAAAGCTATGGAATCTGTAACTGTAAGGTTAAGACCTCCATTTTCTGAGTTTCAAAGTCTGAGATAAAGGCACAATCACAATGTGGGTTCAAGTTTGCTTTGAATTCCCATGCTGTTTTGTAAGCCACACTCTCCTTAGAGCAGGAGCGAGAAGGGCATTGTCAGAAACCATGGGCAGTGGTTGCTACCAGAACACAGGTGAGAAGCAAATCAGAGGTTAATTTATTGTTATGGGAGATGTGTTGGAAAGGCTTATGTTCTTGATCCCTGCAAGTTATCTTCTGATCATGCCATCCAGGAAAATAACTCAGGGAGGAGAGGCCAAAGACTTTGTTATGAGGGGGTGTTCACACAGAAGTTGTTTGAACCAGCTTTTTTGGATCATTTCTATCATCCCTGTAGGATACCCACATCARCTGTTGTTTTGTCTGTTCTTCATACACGGATGTATTGAACCAAACAAAAGACAGATGCTTCTGTTGGTTGAGTGGTGCCTCACAGCGGGAGACCTGGTTTCACTGACCCCTCCGTGTCTCACATGGGCCCGAGCAAGCTCCCTCTGTATTAATTTCCCATTGAGCGAAGTGGGGATGCCTTGCAAAGAGACTGTGAAGAAAAAATAAAGCAAAATCTGTGGAGCTCTCAGCAACTGCAAAATCAAGGGCCACATAAAGAAACTTGGGCTAAAGTTATAATACATTTTTTCCTGTCTGCTAATAATATTGGAAACTTTCCAGGATAAAGTGTGAATAAAGTATGCATGTCTGAATTATTAAGTAATATTTTACCGTCCTCTCATATAACCTGTTGTATAGAAGTTCTCCTGTTGTATTTTGTGGGAGGTAGATTGTTTTCCTCACGAAGCTTTGTAAGATTTGCTTTTTGCAATTCTTTGTTATCTGCTGTGCACAGGAGTTGTGCCTTGCTCAGACTAAAGTTACATCTTCATTAGAGATGTGAGCCAACTCAGGCCATCATTTATAGTTTATAAAAATAGTTATACTTTTTGTTTTGTAAACAAAAGGTTTCTAAATTGTACAAGCAATGTGCATGATTCATTAGCTTCAAGCATTCAAACTGTAAGATAATTGGGAAGACTCTTCTCTCTTCTCAATTAAAATCATCTGGAGACATTCCTTTTAGTGTTTTCATAACTGGCATCTAAAGTCAACTTCCAGCCTTTTGGTGTCACATTGGGTTACAATAGCAGTGCCTGCTAAAAGCAAGCTTGAAAAGTTACCTGTATGTAGTGGTTTTTATAGTGCTGTTTGAATGACTAGAATGCAATTGCATACAGAAATCAAAGTACATATACAACTTACTGCAGGAGTCGTAAAGGAGACTGTCATCATCTGTTTGGGTCTCTGTTTATTGTTAGGGATTTCTTGCAAGTGCAGATTCAATGTTTTGGGGACTGGCTTTTGTCTTTTGATGTACATATGTGGATATATACTTAGTGTGCTCACTCTGGAGTGCCTCTCTAGGTGAAAAGAAGCAGAGCTCTGATGTTGGGAAACACGATGCAGGAGCGCTGGACCATCCTCACCTTGGCAGACTAGTGAGTGAGGTTCCACATCTATCCAAATAAATTTAGTACTGACTCAGGCAGATTTGGTTCATCATGGGGAACCTGGATCATATGACCTTAAAAAAAACTGACATTGGCATTCCAGTTACCAGTTGTCTAGCTTTTTGCATTTGAGATTGTACTTGTGCTTTACTCAACATGAAAATGTAGTTATTGAGAGGGAAATAAAAAGCACTCTAATTTGGTTAACTGAAACAAATGCTTTGCCTTACAGGAACCCCATGGTCAGAGTGTAAATATAAGCTCTGCTTGGGGATCGATTTTCAAGTTTCAGTACTTGCTAAGTCATACATTGTGTTCTACTCAGAAAGCAAGGAAATTTTAGCTATTTGGTGGCATTTTGTTTTGCCTTTTTAAGAAATATTTTATGGAAGCATATCAGTTCCACAAAGCTTGTGCTAGAAATGTATCTCAGATCCAGGGTCAGAGAGAGATGACAGAATAGTTTTGCAAATGGAGACTAATATGAAACCTCAAATTTGAATGTCTAAAATTAAAATCTACAAGGAAAAGTGAAGGGGAAATTGGAAAAGTCTGAAAGGGAATCCATAATAATGATTTGTAAGTACATTAAGAATTGCTATCAAAAAAAAAAAAAAAGGCTGTATGTCCATGAGTGATAGAACAAGAAAGAACAGGAACTTCCCCTATAGGAAAAGGGGGTAATAGGAAGAACTTTGTAATGGTAGGTGTAGGGAATAAGGGCACAGGGCACACATGGAGATTTATTCCTCATACAGAGAGAAATAACGTATTCCCATCAGCAAAACAGAGTCTGTTACTCACTAGAATTAGAAAAGTCTTCATAGTCCTTTTTCTTTTCCTAAACACTTCTGTGAATTTCTGTATGAGTCTTAAAATATACTTTCAAGGAAGGAAAAAAAAACAGAATTTAAAATCTTCAGCCTGCATTCTTGTTAAGCTTGGTGAAAATAAACACTTCAATATGCTTTCACACACTGTATTCCCTGATGTTATATGCAGAAGTAATTAGATGCTAACTTCACACAGAATATGAATGTTAATATTGTAGAATAGAGGGAAGTGATTATATAACACGGCACCTTCAGAAAAAGATTATGCAGAGGAGGAATACAGCTTAGTTATACTGTGCAAGGCACTGTCTTAAAGACTTCATTTTCTGATGCTTCATCATTAAAACTCATCAAGATGAGAATTCAAAGCACTGATATCTGTAAGGACAAGATTCATTTAGAAGGGTTCAAATGTCATTAATCCATCACCAGTGAAATGGGTAGGAATTTGTAAATCATTTTAGAAAGTGTCATTTTATGGATTTAATTAATAGTTTTATGAGCCTTAGTGCTGACATCTTCTATTTTTACTACTTAGTTTGGAAAGAACTGGTGAAACTCAGGTAGAAAAAAATCTGTTGCTGCCTCTTTACAGGACTTTTTAACCATGATGTATCCTGTGGCAGCAAACATGACCATGAGTTTTGCAGCAGACAGAGCATAATCTTTTCCTCAAAGGGTCCCACGTAGCTTGTAGCATGTTTGTTCCCTAAACTGTGACAAACCAGGCAGCAGTTTTTACAGAAATCACAGCCAAATTAAAAACCCTGATACTGAAGCCAGAACTGCACATATAGAGAACAGTATAATGGTTACCTGAGATCCCATAGGAATGTGACTGTAAATGATTTGATGATAAAACACTGATGTTAGTGATCACCTGCTGACTGTTGTCTTTCTAGTCTTGTAGATTGGACTGAAACCATTCAGGTGGTAGAGTCATGGTATGACCAAATAGGCACCATTATCACCTCAAGACCTGTGAAAAATGTTCCTAATCCTCAGTCCAGGTGTTAGTTGTGTTAATTTGAGTCCATGTCCTTAAGAAAGGGATTTTCCTTAAGAAAGTCCTTAGCACAAACATGCACTTTTGAGTTGGATACGTGTGTTGGATGTTGGCAATGTCTCATTGGCAAGCTTTGGACAACCTTCAGTGCAAAATGCCACCGTTACAAGAAATTAAGAAGCTACATAATTGGCTTATGCTAGAAAGATTCCGTAAGAGTTTGCTGCATGTTCTTCAACCTGTATGAAAAACATCAAAAATTGTAAAAGTAGCTGAAGAAATTAATGAAGAAATATGAATTCTCAGCTTGATTATGGTTTCAATTAAAATATTTAACTAGAATAGACTGGTTATTTTCAAGTGAAAAGTGGACCACAGGGCAAAGCTTTCTGAGTWAATCTATTGAAATGGTCACCTTATATATGGAAGCTAAACATCTGTAACCATCAGAAGGATTACACTGAACCACYGATTCCAGTTCACAAGATTTAATGATGGGAAGTAAAAGGATTTTTCAAAAGATTTTTGACAGAGCTTCCATTACTGCCCTATTAGACTGCATTGCTTGTGGTTAGGAAAACACTGTGTTTTTCCAAAATAGTGTATAGAGAAATGTCAAAGGAAAGTAGCTGGTTAAAGGAAATCAATGCAGTATTAATATTTTATCTTCTAGTATAAGCTTTAGGTGTGCTATATATAAGTCATTAAACTTACTGGAATAAGCCTTATAGTAAGAAAAATAATTGATTTTTTGATTTTAAAGTATAAAAAAACTACGATGGAGGCAGCATTAGAATCAATGAGAAAACGGCACAGTATTTTAGAATCCTGACAATTTAATGTCTGAATCAACATCTTTGTACAAATTTTGGAGAAAAAAATAAAGATACTTTCAATCTAAGAGCATATTCTGTACTTATATGTACTTACATATATATATATATATATATATATATATATATATGAATAACCTACATGTTTACTATTGAAGCCAAGTCATAAATCTTAAATACGCAGGTCGAAATGTGTGAAGCAGTTCTTCAGATTAAAATGGCACAGAATAAATTCTGCAGTTAAATTCACATCTGTAATTCCCATTATCTCCTATTCTTCACACTTGAGAACAATTCAGCGATTTCAAAATATATTCCAAGAATGTGAGTCAAATAATATTTAACGTGAAAAAGGATGATTTTTGAGGCTAGATTTTGTAAAACACAAACTATTGTAATGTGCTTGTGAACCAAAGAATTTGGAATATTCTCTATATTTATACAAATATGGCAGATGACTTTCAATACTGTATTAACATTACTGTGGAAACATTGTACTGATAAAAGTCCAGGTGCCTTCCATGAAGAGCCTGGCATCTAAATTATGCACATAGAGAGTTTTCTAATGATTTGTATTCTTTTCTGTTTTTTGTTCCCTAGAGTATCAGGGCTTCAGGGCTGGTTCTTTTGGAAACCATTCTTTTTGGATCACTCCTTCTGTACTTYCCGGTAAGTTAAACTATATATATATATGTAGTTTTTAAGTGTTATCCTTGCCAACACCATAAAACATAAATCACTCTGATGACAGATACAGTTATTGGAAGTTGTTATGTAATCATTAATGTGATCTGATTAACAAAATGTTCTGTTTACTSTAAGTATTCTTGAGAATGTTTGAATCTTTTGCTTTACTTGTGATAATTCTCCATTTTCTGTTTAAGGGAATATTTTCAATATTTTTGGTTTGGGAAGTTTTTAGTTATTCTGTTGTCTTGTGTTAAAGGTGAATATTAGCATTGAAAGAAAATATCTCTACWGGGTGGGGGAAAACATGTTGGATGTGTAAAAGGAAATCATAGACATACTTAGTGTTTCTCTGGAATTGTACAAAGAATTAATTATTTCAGTGCATTTCTGCCATATATTTTAAGTGTTTCTAAAGCTATGTGACATCTGAAATATCTAATGTTTGGAAAAATGAGATGGTATTTTCCATATGCTGTAAGTAGGAAATTAATTTAGCATTCACTAGAGGAATGTGTCATGGAAGTCATAGAAATCTGTATTTTTTTCCCTCTTGAAAGTATGAGAATACTTGAGTATATTAATTTGCACATAAATTCAGTATAGCCACTGGGTAAAGAGACATSAAACTGTAAGATGAGTGAAGTGACTGGAAAGCACACAGATCAGAGGAGACAGAAACACAGACAGAGTTGTGGATTATTTCAAAATATGTTCGCGTTCCATTTTCCTAAGTGGTCAGAACCTTCTGTGCTTTTACAAACCAGAAGAATATTCCCTGGGAAAGCAGCAGGAAGGCAAAGCTCCTTAGCCTTTGTGTAACAAATTGCAGATAAACTGTAGTGAAGTAAGTTGTGAGGAATGCTATAATAAATATAAGTCCTACTGCAATTGTTATGTATTATATTTAGAATGGTGGTGGTCTTTCAAGTTAAAGAGAAAGAATGCATAGTGCTTTTTTGTGTTTTTTTCATCTTTCAGTTTGCATGTGTTGTTTTCATTTTATACAAATGTTTTTTCCTTTTTCAAGCCCCTTCCCTGGGCTTTCAGAGCTTCCTTGAGATGCCTTTTAAGTGAGGAGAGCAGAGAGCCCAAGCTTCATTTCCTTAACTGGTATGGGAATGGGGTAAAGCATTTACAGAGATGCATAGCATAAAACATAATGTAAGGGCTTTCCTATCCATGACGGTCCCTGGCTTGCTTTCCCAGTTATTCGGAGAGTCCTGGAGCCAGTTAGGTGCTTCCCAAGGCGGTGGCTCCAGAAGAACCACCCGGCGTTTCCACAGTGCTGGCTCTGGAGAACACCACAAGTTCCTCACAGCCTCCAGGGCTGGAGAACATGGGTGGAAACCCATGCTGTGCTGAGTCTGCAAACTGCTCACCTGCGACTGATTCTTCAGTTTCTTTCCCAGTTTTTGTCTTGATCCCATAATTTCAACTATGCTGTTGTATTCAATTCATGGTAGATATCCTGCTTGTGGTGACTCTACTAGCTCAATATTAGAGATAAAGGCAAGAGTTGGCCCCTCACCGCCCTTCAGAGCCAAGGGAGAAGAGAGTGGAGCTGCAAGTAGGTTCAGATAACTGAATCCTACATTTTTCTCTCGATGTTAAACAAAATTTCCCCCTTTTCACTGACATTATCRATGTTAAATGTGCAGCAAGTACAAAACAGCCGATTGGCATTATCTAGGGAAAAATGTTGTGCTGAAAATTCCTGATTAGGCTGTTTCCCAGCTGGGGTATAGATATATGACTACARCTTTTTCTTCTCTGCAAATCTCTTTCTCATATTACATAAGACTGTCCACTGATAACACATTCTGTCAGGCACTGAAATGCAAAGCATGTAACTTGGCTTTTCTGTTTCTCCCACACTCTTTCTCTTAGGCTCTCTTTCTTTTATATGTAGGTAGTTACTAATCAGGCTGTTCCTCCTACAAGCTGAAACAGAAAAGAGAAACTTTAGCATTTTTATTATAAAATTCTTAGGGAAGGACTTAGGTACTGTGGTAATAAAGGTCATATTAGTGTTCAGACAGAGAGATTAAACCTAATTTCACCAATTGCAAGAATATGGTTTTGTGAAAAACAAAGATGACTGGATCTGGGTCAGAAGTGTCAGAATTTCATTATCCCTCTCTACCAATGCACCACGAGAGGGAAGTGGATCAATAAATTTGTGAAGTGCGAGAGCACATACAAAATATATCCAGGGAGATCTACTATATAATCTTTAAGAAAGAGAAGACTCTGTTTCTGCAAGGTATGGCCTATGGCAGTTAAATTCTCAAATGTAAACTCTTGACATTTTGCTGTTCATGTGTGTTATTAAACTTCATTTTGCAAGTGAGGAATACATTAGGGCTTGAAATCTAACATAYATAAAACTCACCTCTTATATTCCTGAAACAGACACGTTCAGGTATGTTTTCCACACCTAGCATAAAATGAAATTGAAAATATGAAATAGAGTTCCTCAGTTTTGGCCAGGCAAGTGTGACTGCGGTAAGATTTTCTTCTTTAACATAATGCTTTTTTTTCTTTTTCTCTCATCTCGTTCTACTGAAAGGCTTAACTTCCATGCTCAACTAAGTGCAGAATTACACAGCTTGTCTTAGTGCATRTACAATGCAAAGAGATAAAACGTCAATTATAAATAAATCTCTGTTCACTTAAGGATTTGGTGTAAAATTACATTCTAATTTAAAAATGAAAAATCCCTCTAGGTTTACTCAATGCTGCTGCTTAAGGCTCTTGAAACTTTCCTCCTCATTCCTGTACACTTTCCTAATTCTGGCTTTTGCTTGATCCATGCTCCCAATCTTTCCTAGATTGTGTTGAGAGCCTTCAACATATAAAAATTCCTGTGTTCAGAAGGGCTGTATTGCATCTCCGACTTTCCCTACCCTCCAATTAAATGGAAACCAAAATCTACTTTGTTACATTGCTTAATTTCGTTCACTAATTGTCTTTGTTTTTGTATCTGCATGCTGTAATCCATTCAAAGTGTACTGTCATTAATTGAAAAATAATAATGCCAAACAGATGCTTTTGGTGAGAAAAACAGCTGTYGTAATGCCCTTCTAAACGAACAGGAAGTACAAATCATGATCTTCACCAAAATTCATTATTCAAATTCTGCTCTACTYGTGACAACACACTAAGCTTTCCTGAATTATAATGAGGCAGATCAGCTTTGTCTGTTGCAACTGCATGGATCTGAGCTGGTAGTGATGGCAGTGATACATCATGTGTGCTCACTAACTGTTTATTCCTTATATGTTGATGTTCACTGAGGCAGATGGAAAGTTTCTGCTTTTTCCATCACATTTAGCACTGCCCATTCTTATACATTGGGGTGATTCTGAAGGTTTAAACATTTCCTGTCAAAATATAATTACTCTTATGATCAATCTGGAAGGAATAATTAAGAACTGGGTCTCTCYGTAAAAGAACACATAGGTTCAGCAACAGGTTATGCTGTTGTCACTGTTCAAAGGGTATTTCTCATCAGGGCTTGTTCTTAAAGTGAAAACCTATCATTTTCTTCTGGTGTTTCACAGTAGCTAAAGAATGACCTGGAAAAGAGAAGACTGAAATGAGATCTTACGAATCTATATAAATATTTTAAGGGCAGGTGCCAGACTATTTTTAGTGGTGTCCATCAACAGCATGAAAAACAGCAGGTACAAACTAAAAACCAGAAAGTTCCATCTGAAGTTGAGGAAAAACCTCTGGACTGTGAGGGTGACAGGCCCTGAACAGGTTGCTCAGAGGGGTTGTGGAGTCTCTTTCTTGGAGGCATTCACAGCMTTCCTGGGTTACGTGCTGTGGATGTCCCTGTGTGTTCACAGGGGTTGGACTTGATGATCATTAGAGGTCCCTTCCAACCTCAACCGTTCTGTGATTCTGAGAACATGCCTGTCTAGAATAGTATTGACAGCACTGCAGTCCTGGTCCCAGCGTGGGTATCTGCTCTGAGATAATCCCCAGAGATGTCCCTAATAGTCTAGAATGCGTCTTTGTGATCAAAGCGGACTGGGTATCCAGACAATGGAGAAGGCAGATTTTAAGTGCCAYGTTACAGGATTCTTTATCTGTTGTCTTGCTGGTGCAGAGAATTAAGGGCTTGGGGGRAAAAAGTATACAATAGCTTGTCTCTCTCAAACTAGCATCAGTGCCAGGCAAATGAATTTTTGGAGGTCAACATCTAAGCAGTAAACCAGCAGCTTTTTTTGGAAAGCCATCTTGTTTTGAATGCATAAACCCAGACTGAGCTGCCGTAGTGCTCTGAAGTACAGGAGTCTCACGGGTGCTAGAAACATTTTTGCTCCTGCTCCAGACCTCCCTGTACCAATGTTATTGGCCCCAGTAACATGTTCGTGACAGAATTCTTAATAACAGCAAGCAGGCACTAAACATCTTCTGTTTTTTTTAAATAAGGGTGTTTGATTCAGTGGGTAAAAAAGGATACACACTAACAGTTCTTTRTGGTTCTGCTTCTCACTAATCCTTATAGCTATCCTAAAAAGTCTAGTAGCTACTATTAAGGGGTTAACTAGAAGCTGTTGTATATATGCTTATCTACATGAACCCTGGGACTGTTGATGGTCTTGATTAGATATTGGTATTTCTGTGTAGTTAGCAAATGGTTAGGATATGGAAAAGCCCAAAGAGCTCTGATATCATGTAATGTAGAAAAAAAATACGAWGGTAGTATTTGGTGAGGAGCATGTTCAGTGTGTTTAGGTAGATCCTGTGCTGCGTTCAGAGTATGACTGAGGTTGGAAGGGATATCAAGTCACCTCTGGTCMGGTGTCCTACACTTAGAGCAGGGTCAGCCATTAGATAAGACTAGGTTAGTTAGGGCTTTATCCCAGCAGGTCTTAAAAAATCTCCAGGAGTAGAGCGTTTACAGCAGAGGAGCAGTCACACTGATTGTAGCTTTTGAATYCTGTGATGAAATACATGATGTTACT